TCTACACAGTACTGTTCTGAACAGTAACATTATGCAGGTTTGCATGGTATCTGAACAGAAGTGGGCCTTTGCCTCGGTAACTTGAAAGATCCTGAATATGTATTTGAATCTGAGAGTCAGTTTGTATTCAAGTGCTTTGTCAGAGAAAACAGTGGGTAAAGCAATGATCCTCTTAACCTGAGCACTCCTGTTTGAGTTCTTATCTATACTTTGTAGAGGTTTTTGGGTGGGAAGAATGATACCTATGTTTCTAAGAAATCCCTGTGTGAGGCTCAAACCCTAGAAATTGACCCTTTGCAGAGGGTCTTCTGGAGCCTCTGGCATCCGTTCGGGTCTCGTCTCTCGGGATTTGGGCGATTGACCTCATTTCCTCACTCTCAGTGAGAAGCAGTGTATGGAGAAGTGCTGCGTGGCACGGGAAGGTGATTTGGTTCTAGGAGTCCTTTAGGTTTTTTTGTCTTTCAAGATTATATTATCTCACATTTTATGAAGTCTGTAAGATTAAAAAGTAATCTGTAAAGTGCTTATTATAAACTGTGAAGTGGTAGGTAAATGTTAAAGTTCCATAGTTCTGTAATAATGATGATTCATAGAGTCCTAGAACAGATATGAATGTTAAAATACTGCAACAGAATCAGTTATATTTGATTGATTCCCCGCCCTACTCCTTAAATAACAGTCAGCTTCCTCCCATGGAGAGTTTGCCCTTCATCTGTGGAATTGTGCATTGTTCCTTCAAATCTGAATGAGAGTGACTGGGTAATGTATTCTTTTGTGAGGTGTTCATTTCATTGAGGTTGTTCACCATATCCCACCACTGTCTTCGGTCCTGGAGGGTTTCATCTGGTAAGTCTGCAGTGAGTCTTAGGGATGCTCCGTTATAAGCTATTTCCTTCTTTGATCTTGCTGCTTTCAGTATTCTCTCTCTGTGTTGTTTTCTCATTCTGGAAGGATGTGTCTTGGAGTATTCTTATTTGGATTTCTTTTAGCTGGTGCCCTTCCAGACTCTTGGGTCTGGGTGCATTCACTCTTCAGCTCCTGGAACTATTCAGCAATCATGGCTTTAATGGTTGCTTCTTCATCAGGGTTTTCTTCCTGCCCCTCTGTTACTCCAATGATTCTTATATTGTTCTTCTTGGCATCATCCCAATTTTCACTTGTCATCTGTCAGTTTATTTTAAAGGTTTGTTCCATCTTCTGTTGTCTGGAGATTCTCTGCACCTCACCTTGAACTCACTGATTCTGTCCTCAGCAGTTACTCTGCTGGTAAGGCCTTTCAGTGAGTTATTCATTTCACCGACAAGGTTTTTCCAGTCTATCATTTAGGCTTATATTTTTGTTTGTATTTTCTTCATTTCTACTCTCATATCCTACTGTATTTTATTGGTGGTTTGTTCCATTGTTTCTTTGATCACCTTGTGCATCCTTAGCAGTTTCATTCTAAATTCCTTATCAGAGAGGTTATATAGATCTCTGAGATCTCCCTCCCTCTCTCTCTCTCTCTAGAGAGAGAGAGAGAGAGAGAGGGAGATCATCTATATATATGTATATATATAGAGAGAGAGGGAGATCTTTATATAGATATAGATATATAGTTATTACTTTCTGGGTCATCTGGGCTAGCTTCTTCACTCACTAAGGCTGCTAGGATTCTATGTTGCTGTACCATCTTGACCTTTTGCTGTTTTTAGGTTTGTGATCTGTGTGTTTTTGTGTGGTTAGGAGCCTAAGTTAAGATGTCTTTGTATGTGTAGGATGAGTCACAGAGAAGTGAAGAAACGCGTGGTACAGGTTAGTTAGGTAGTTTGGGGTTAATGAGGTAACTGATAGAGGCGAATAGTTCCCCCAGGGCTGGGTGCCTGCCCCAATCTCCTAACTGGACCTCTCACTTCTCCCTGAGAATCGCCCTTGTCCTGCTTAACTTGTGACTCATTTGTGCCGACCAAACCACGCTGGTAAACAATGTGGGGTGCTTTTCTTCTATGTGAATGTCCCTAACTCTTTTGCTATGTTGAGAAAGTTATTTCATCAGTGATTTTAGTCTGTGCTTAGATAAAGAAATTTCCTGGGCTTCTCCAGAAGCTTTAGTAGCTATTGAGCCATTTGATGGCATAACAAATTATTTTCATATTTGTTTCTTTTATTGAATTTTGAACTTCTTAAGGCCAGGGCCTGCATCAGTAATGGTGAGCATACCAGCACAAAGCCTGGAACACTGTGCAACCAATGTTTGATAAGTAAATTTAGGAGCTTCAAAATAGGAAATAGAGGTGATTTTCTTTTTCAGGAGTTACCCAGACAGATCCATTTCAGCAACTTTTAGCAATACCATCTCAACAACATGGTTCCTTATCCTTTGTAACTTTGTAGGTGATAAATTGTAGTTATTGAAATTGTTTTTTAAAAAGATTTAATTTCACAAGCTCTATGTAAGCCTCCATTTTTTAAGTAACAAAACTCCATGAAAGGCAAAATTCACCATTTATTTTCACTAAAGATTTTCTTCTTAGGGACCAGAGTGATTAGTACAGTGGAGAGGTTACTTATCTTGACTGTGGTCAACCTTGATTCAGTTCCATCACCATCTGGTCACCCCGGCCCTGCATGAATGCCAGGAGAAAGCCCTGAAAACCACCAGCTGTGTCCTCCAAACAAACTTTTAAAAAAGTAAAACAACTAAGATTTTAGTCATAAAAAAATCATATTTTTGTTTTCAGTTATCTGAAAATGATCCAGACCGATGAAGAGCTTGTAGCGATGTAACCCTGTGCTTTGTAGCATAGTAGATGGCAGATCTGGGCATGCAAGCCTGTGTCTGGATCCAAAGTCAGACTTTTCTTTTATTTTCAAATGTAGTGGGGTGGGATGCTGGGGGAGGTGGTAGCGGCGCCATCTCCAGCACTGTCCTGGGCGCCCAGGGCTAGCCAGGGTCTGAGGGGAGCATTGTGTGTGAGGGTGTGCAAGGAGAGTCTGGGGTTGGACATTGGTGCTCGGACATACAAGGCGTGTTGTATGTCCAGCCCTCCAGGTTCAGCCCACAGAGTGAGTCAGATGTAATAAAGCAATTTTACCTTTGGAGGTGTTTAGCCCAGTGGGTTTCAGTCACTCATTCATGGACCACAAGTATAAAAAAGAACAAAACCCACTGAGTAGCCCACACATTTCTCTGAACTCTTTGCAAGCTGCAGGCCTGTGGGGTTTGTGTGTGTTTGTATGTATGTGTCTGTGTACTTTGTCTTTGGGCCACACCCAATGATGCTCAGGGCTTACTCTCGACTCCCTGCTGAAGGATCACTCCTGGATGTGCTCAGGACCATAGGGGTTCTGAGACTCGAGCCTGGGTCAGCAGGTTACAAGGCCAAATGCCTTTTTCGCTATGTTGTTTTTCTGCACCCCCACCGTTTTATGAATAAAATTTCTTGGGACAAGATCTGATTCATTCTATTTCGTGTTTCCTGCATACCTTTTCTATTCCAATGGCTGAAGTAGGAGATTGTGACGAAGATCTTAGGGCCTGCAATTCTTAATACTTACTCTCTGGCCCTTATAGAGGTTGGCCTGGCCAGAAAGAATACTCAGAAAGGGCTAGAGCACGTTCAGAGCATGCAAGAGTTCTGAGTTGGATTCCCAGCATCAAATAATCACCCAAACACCACTTAAAAACAAAGTCAAAACAAGCAAAAATGAAGTTGGCCAACCCCTGTGTTATAGATAAAGTAATATCTTTGAGATTATATTAGGAATCTTCAAACATAGCCTGTTAGTCAAAAGTAACCTGTTAAGTATTTATTTTAAAAGTACTGGCAGAGTGTCTGCCTGTGCTGGCTGTGGGCTGTCTGTGCTCCCAAGGGCAGAGCTGAGTCCTTCAGACAGTGCTTGCAGCTGCAAAACCTAACGATAGTCTTCCTGAAAAGCTTTGACTAATCTCTGCATTAGGTTATGGAATTCCAGAATGATTATCACTTGCAGGACACTTTTTTTCTTTATTTTCATTGTTTTATAGATGGAGAAACCAAGCATTTCATGAGGTAGACCCGTGCCAAAGATAGTCTACATTTCCTCTCTGCCTCCCAGCCTTACATACTCATCCTGCAGTATGTGCCTCTGCATGAGGAGGGGACGAGAACTGGGACATCTGAGTCCAGAACTGGGATCTCACTTTATGGCTGTTTTCAGTTATCAGCATTGACAGGAACAAGTGAAATAAGGAGATTATTTATTTATGGAGTGGCTTTAGCTCCCTGAGCATCGGAGTATACATAAACATTATGAGATTGACACAGGCGTTTTGTATGGATTTATAAAAACATCATCATTCATTCTTATAGCTTGCTTGTGTAGATCTTCTTTCAGCAGAGAATGAAAGTCTGATAGACTGAGCCAAAGCCTGTGTCTGCTATGGAACGTTTCCTTAGGGGAGGGCTGGCTTACTTTCTCTGGAATCTTTATTAACTCACTGGTCAGTGTCTGCTCGAAAAATGACAGATGCTCAAAAAAAATGCTTATTTCTGGGGCTGAATTGATAGTACAGTGGGGAAGGCATTTGCCTAGCACACAGCCAGCCAGGGTTTGTTACTCTGCACCCCATATGTCCCCACGCACGACCAAGAGTGATTCTCGAGTGCAGAGCCAGGAGTGACTCCAAAGCATTGCTGGGTGTGGCCCCCTAACACAAAACTAAATGTTTATTTCTTTTCAGGCCTTTTGTTCACAGAAGTTTTTGTTATGTAAAGTTTGGGGAAAAATCAACAATATTAATCTTAGAAATGTTGGTTTTTTTTTCTCTTCACTCTGAAAATAAAATTGTAAGAATGTGGAAAAGGTAACCTCTCAGTGTTGGAAGTTCTTGTTGGCAGAGATTATTCCTGATGATTAAAAGAAAGGGTATCTTTACAGTGACATTGTGGGGGCCAGATGATGGGTATTAAACAGAAAGCACTGTGGTATCTCTCGGATATTGAACAGACTCAAGAGTCTTTCCTGGCTTTACTTTATTGCAGTATAAAGAAGAGGGCGGCAAGGTCACCAGTTACTGCCATGAGACGATGCCTGGTTGGGTCCATGATGTGCTGGGCCGGAACTGGGCTTGCTTCACCGGAAGGAAGGTGAATGCTCACTCTGAGAATGTGAACGTGGATATGATACATCCTCCGACTCTGCAGCAAAAGGAAAAGTAAGTGTCATGCATGGGAGATACATGGAGATTTAGTTTTGTTATATAATGTGTGTGTTTAAGTTAATCACTTGATCAATTGACTCATCAATTTGCTCGAATGGGTGCCTGTAACGTCTCCATGTGTCCCTGTCGCGTGCTAGTGTAGCCCAATGGCGTCTGCTCACTCCAGGAACACGAAGAGCCTCAAACCAGTTGTTCAAGGTTTTGACGAAGAAGTCTGACCATCTCGTAGGTGGGCAGCCACGCGATCATTTGACATCCCGTGGAATCCAGTTGGTAATTGCCCTAGTCCAGTGGTTCTCTCCAAATCGCATTACACATCTGATTTTTGAGGCCTTGACAAACAAGACAGTGTCCTGATTCTTGATCGTTGATGGCGGCTGGAACTTCGTATACTTTCTCTCACTTGAATGAAGCGTGATACTCCAAGCATAGCTCTTTTGATTCCTCTTTGGGAGACCCGAGTAGTGTTCTCATCCTGTTTTCGTAAGGCCCAGATCTCTAAGGCGTATGTTAATGCAGGAAGAATGATGGAGTTGAAGAGATGTGCCTGGAGCCGGAGTTTCTTCATCCTTTTAGCTATTTCTTCCGCTCTTCCTCCTGCGCAACTCAGGTGCCAGGTCATTTGTCATGTTGAGTTCTCGCTCTCAGTACACAGAACTGTTGCATTCGGAGATGTTCATTCCGTTGAGAGTGAATGGAACGTCAGGAATGAGTCCGTTTCCCATAAACATTGTCTTCGTGAGATTCAGCTGCAATCTGACCATTCCACACTCACAGTTGAAATCGACCAGCATTTGTGCTGTTTGACTAATGTTTGGTGTCATTAGAACCATGTCATCAGTGAAGTGGAGGTGCTGTAGTTGCTGACTGTCTTATCTTCACTCCCATTCCTTCCCATTCTAGTTGTTGCATGATGTTCTTGAGGGTGGCACTGAAGAGTTTCTGTAAAATGGTATCAACCTGCCGAACCCCTCTCTTGATGTCGATGATCACTACCTTGTAGAATGGTGAGATCCTAGTAGTAAATCTGTAATACAGCTCACGGAGGATCCTGATGTATTGAGTTTGAATGCCCTGTTTGGTTAGGGCTTCAATGACTGCTTCAGTCTCAACAGAATCAAAGACCTTCTTTAAATCAATGAAAGTTAGACAGAGCGGCATCTTGAACTCCCAAGAAACCTCAGTGAGCTTGGTCACCGTGTGGATATGGTCGATGAATCCTTTTCGGAACCTGGCTTGCTCGCATGGTTGTCCTTCATCTAGTATTCTGCCAATCCTATTCAGGATGACTCAAGTGATCAGTTTGTAGATGACAGATTGGGTGATAGTTGCCATGTTGTGGATGTCTCCCTTCTTGCATGTAGAATGGTCCTGCTGGTTTTCCACTGGGACGGAACCTTGCATTCAGACAGGTAGTGTGTGAAGAGCCGAGCGAGTGTATTGATAAGTACTGGTGGCAAGTTCTTCAGGTGTTCAGGTCTGACCTTGTCTGGGCCGGGTGCTGTTCGCTTCTTTACCAATGAAATGGTGTGTCAGATTTCGGAAGGGAGAACTTTGGTAATGACATATCCATCCTGTGGAATTTGCTATGTGGACAGGTGGACATGGCTATCAAAGAGATTCGAGTAGAAGTCATGGATAATCTCCATTGCATTTCTGGAAGATGTGATAGATCCCTCAGGACGTTGGAGGGCAGTCATCTTGGTCTTGTAGTTGGCAAAAGACAGGCGGGCGTTGCAAATGCTTTTCCCAGCTTCTGCCACATTGGTCAGCATTGCTGCTCTTATTTCTTTGAGGTCTTCCTTTATCGCTTCTCTGCACTGCTTTGTGAGTTTGGACGTACACTTGCCTGAGGCTCGCGCCAAGCCACATTGGTGAATGAGCTCGAGAGTTTTTGAAGACAGGCATCTTTTTTGTGACTGTCTCTGTCTCGGCATTCCTCGCACAATCATGGAGGTGCTGAACCAGTTGATTGTATTTTTCATCATTCTTGTCAACGACGACACCTTTCTATGTTGCTGCAATAGTGCCAAAGAGCTCCCTGTTGGTGGTCGTTCTGGGAGTTTTTCTTAAACTTTGCAGCCCTTTCTCCCCGCTCCGTGAAGTAGAATTTTGTATGAAGGAGATGGTGGTCCGATCCCACTTGGAATTTTGGGACAACAGTGACATCGGTCAGGCAAAACCGTTGATTGAATATGATGTGCTCAATTTGGTGTGGAACCATCCACCGGGAGACTCCCATGTCCAACATTTAGATTCGGCCTTCTGGAACTGTGAGTTACCTTGGATAGTGTTGGCCGACATGATGAACTCAGACAGTCTCTCACCCTGTTTGTTCCATTCTAGGCCATCTGTCCCTAACTTCCCGAAGTGGAGTTCTTTGGCTGATTTTCTCGGTCCTATCTTGGCATTAAAATCACCGACAGTGATCTTGTACAAGGTGTGGTCTTTTTTATAGAACTTCTCCAGCTCCATGTAGAACTTCTCCATTTTTTTTTTCTTCATTTTAAACACCTGCAAGGGTGATTAGTAGCTGCCCTAAAAGTCTCTGTCACTATCGGAGAGCCTGGCAAGCTACCGAGAGTATCCCGCCCACACTGCAGGACCTGGCAAGCTATCCATGGCATATTTGATATGCCAAACCAGTAAATACAATGGGTCTCATTCCCCTGACCCTGACAGAGCCCCCAATATGGCAGTGTTAAGGATGAGGAAGGAGCAGCTGATAAAATCTCAAGGTTGAACTAGCCTACCAAAATGAAGAAGGACTAAAATGACTGTTTGTACTTTCTATGCACGTACGCTAGCATCGGGTGCATCCATCAAGGACCTGATGGTGCAAGCGTGAAAGATCAAGTACAACATCATTGGTCTGACCGAGACAAGAAGGCATCAACCACATCACACCGTTTTCGACACTGGAGAAGAACTGTTCCGCAGAACCTGCGACAAAAGAGGCATAGGTGTTGTTGGTGTCCTTTTCGACATGAACTTGGCCATGAGCATTGATTCATTCAAATGCCTAACAACCTGAATTGGACAATTGCACTTGAATAGATATGGCTCACTGCCAGCAGTTTCTGTCTTCATTGTCTACACACCAACATCCAATTACGATGAAGAAGAAATTGATAAGTCTAAGACAATGATAGAGAATTTTATTTTGATTATTTAAGAGTTGATTTAGGATTGTACGCCATATTACATCAAATTTCATGGGGAAAAATGTTTTTATTGATGTAGTTGAGAAAATAACTTTTTTTTTCCAAAATACTTCCAAAGTCTTAGGACAATCATGACTTAAAAGTAAACGCTGGATAGAGAGTTCAGTAGGTGGGGCACTAGCCTTGCACACACTGATCCAGGTTCAATCCCCAGAATCCCATATGGTCCCTGGACCACCACCAGAAGTGAGCCCTGAATGCAGAGCCAGGAGTAAGCCCTGAGTACTGGCTTATCCCAAACGAAAAAACAAAAACAAACAAAAAAACTCTCAAAAGTAAGCGCTATAGTAAAGTTCACAGAATTGCAATGACTTTTAAAAAAACATTTTATTAATTGAACATAAATATTAAAGCAGTATGTGACTGAAATTTAAATTCTTGGTCATTAGGTAGGTAATATATATATATATCTTTTATTTATTTATTCATTTATTGCTAGAGTTACCATAATAATATCATGACTGAGTGACTTAACCATCGAAATTTATTTTATTACCATTTTGAGGCTGAATGTCACAGATCAGGAAAGCAAGTTGTGTTTCCTCTGAGTGTTTTTGTATCATTTCATAGTATAGTGACCATTTGGTGCCAATTTGCCTAGTCATATGTTATCCCAGAGTAACTTAATATTTTTAATCTTCTTATGAAATAATAGTATTTAAGAACTACTTTATCATCACTGTAATGCACATATCAGCACAGGACGTTTTAGTAAATGTTGCAAAGAAATAGGGAGAATAACTGTTTCATGATCAGTATAACATGACTTTTATTAGAAATCATTTATAGTTTAATATTGTATCTTGAATTTTTCTATTAAACTTTGAAAAGCTTAGGTTTTTTTTAACCTCTCTGACTAAACTTCTTAAAAAAATACTTGTCATTAGACTTTTGAAGTGTTTATCCTTTATAAGATTTTATTAAACTGCTTTTATCTTTAGATTTATTCAGGTCAGCCTATATAAATCCATTTAGTATTGTGCCTGAAGAAATAGTAGAACAGCTGGAAATTGCTTTTATTGTTGTGTTAGTGTTTTCAAAATATGTTGCAATTTTTTAATCCATTTAGTAATGTTATATATCTGGTACACCTTGTAATAAGTGAGAAAGAACTTTGATGGAGCATTATAAATGTGGTTATGCATTTTCTGTATTCCCAGGTGGTTTGTGTTAGACTGTTTTCTCTATGGACAGCAGTAAAAAGAGAAAGTGAATTATACCTAAAATGTTACTTTAGTTAGATAATGCTTTGCATAAGTGAAAGGACCACATCTTAATTGTTAATTCATTGTGAATCATTTGGAGATCTCCTTAGATCCAGATTTTGATTTAGTTGTCTGGTTGAATATTAAGTTTTGTCCACATTTGTAACAAACATGCAATGTTTAATACTAATATTGTCTCAGATAAAAACATATTTTGAGATGCTGAGAATATGGCTCAGAGAGCTGGAGTACATCTCTTGCACTTGGAGCCTGGCTTCATCCCTCTGACCACAGCTGGGATGAAGCCTCAAGCACTGAGCTGGTGATGACCTCTGAACATTGTAGGATATGACTCAAAAATGAGAAACAAAAAATGTTCACTTCCCCATTTAAAAGAATAACTGTGTAAAGATAAATGTAATCCATAGTTCATTTGGAATAAATTATTTTAGTTGTCATACTGTATATTTCGGCTGGAGCGAGAGCACAGTAGGTAGGGCATTTACCTTGTATGTAGTCAACCCGGGTTCAATTCCTCCATCCCTCTCCGAGAGCCAGCAAGATGCCGAGAGTGTCCCGCTCGTAGGGCAGAGCCTGGCAAGCTCCCCGTGGCATATTCGATGTGCCAAAAACAGTAGCAAGTCTCACAATGGAGATGTTACTAGTGCCTGCTCGAGCAAATCGATGAACAATGGGTGCACAGTGTTACAGTGCTACTATATATTCAGTACTATATATATGGCATATTGTATGCTACGTAATGCTTACCATGTTATATTCTTAATAGTACATATTTAGAAAGATGCCCTGTTTTATTTTCATGAGTTTATAAAGGTACATCTTAGAAATTTTAAAGGTGGTGATCCAGTGCCAGCGCTTAAAGGTATTTAGGTTGGCTTCCTTTTAAAAATGTGTATATACATATACATTTACATATATATATATATATATATATATATATATATATATATATATATATATAAAACCTGGTTGTAAAGGCCAGGGAGATAGTTCAGTGTTTGCCTTCTATGCAACTGACTGAATTTGATCCTTGAAACCTCTTCTAGGTTCCTGAGCTCTTCCAGAACTGAGTCGCAAGCATAGAGCCAGAAGGTATCCCTAAGTGTGGCCAGGATGACCAAAAATATGAAACAATAAAACTGATTCTGTATAAATGTCTTTGCTTTTTAAATTTAATAGACTTTAAGCACTTACCTCTAAGTAATCTTCTAGACATTTTTACTGAACAGACAGTATAATAGAGGAAGTACCATTGCTTATTTAAGCAGTCCCCATCTTAAAGCATAATTTATAATATCTATAACCTATTACTAAACAAGGGGTAGAGCGATAGCACAGCAGGTAGGTCATTTGCCTTGCATGCGGCCGATGAGGGTTCAAGTTCTCTGCCCCTCTCGGAGAGCCCGGCAAGCTACTGAGAGTATCCCACCTGTATGTCAGGGCCTGGCAAGCTCCCCATGGCATATTCAATATGCCAAAAACAGTAACAACAAGTCTCACAATGGAGACATTACTGGTGCCCGCTTGAGCAAATCATTGAACAATGGGAGGACAGTGTTACAGTGCTATTACTAGACAAAGTGGTTTAATTTAACATTCTTACAAATACCCCTTGAACTTCTATTTTCACAGAAGCCATTCCCATTTATGCTGTTCTTACAGTGTTTTCTCATGAGATCATAGCGGTTTTGTTTCTTCTTTGCTGTTATGGGCACATCTGTGCTTGGACAGGCACCCAGGGCCTTCCCTTCACAGGGCTGGGTCTGGGAGTCATGAGGCCCATGGGCAGGACTACAGCCTCACCTGCAAGGCGTGTACTCTCACGCTTGAGTTGAGACCTCTGGGCCCACTTTCCACTTCATTCCATAGTATGAGTCTATTTGATTAGAGTTTGCTTACATCTGCAGCGAGTATATCTAACACTGTCTTGCTTTTGTGGCAGCTATTCTAACAGGTTATACAAATATAATAACAACTTTGTGGAAACCATCAATGCTGTTCAGAAATCCTGGACCGCAACCACATACGGGGAGTATGAGACACTTACCCTGAGAGAAATGATGCGGAGAGCAGGTGGCCACCGCCAGAGTCACCCAAGGTAATACTGCACCCACGTATCTCCCTCATGGGGTGCTCTGTTGAATGTGTCTCCCTGAGGGAAAGGCTGTCTGTCTGTCTCCCTGATGGGGATGCTGTCTGTCTGTCTTCCTGAGGGTTATGCTGTCTGTCTGTCTCCCTACGGGAAAGGCTGTTTGCTGTTTGTCTGTCTCCCTGAGGGGCATGCTATCTGTCTCCCTGAAGGGGATGCTGTCTGTCTGTCTCCTTGAGGGATCTGTTTCTGTTTCCCTGAGGGGGATGCTGTGTTCAGTACCATCCTTCCAGTGGCTTTCCCTGGGTCACTCATTATTTTATTGGTCATCCGAACTTTATTTTTTTCTGTTTTCTTTCTTTCTTTCTTTTTGTTTTAATCATCTGTCTCCTTCAAGGATGCTCTAATGCTCCCAATCCTACTTTCAGGTTTTGCTTCCACAGGCCTGCCATCCGTCCTTTCCATTTCCTCTCTTCTGGCTTCGGGCTTTGTCCCCGCTCCTGTGTACGGATCAGCTCCCTGCTTCTCTCCTGCCTCTTGGGCTTCTTCCCTCTCTGACCCCGTGTTTTCCACCTTGTGAAATGCTGCAATTCCATCTTCTGTATGCTGCTATGATTATGTTACTACTTATTTTCTAATACTTCAACTTAGCCATACAGATCTGACTCCACCTGACCTGTGTTCAAATAGTAGCATGTAGTTAACAAAACTTAGTTCAGTCATAACATTTCCTTTGCCTTAAAACCCCTTCTCTCAAATTGCCTGTAATAACTGTCAAGTTTGCAGTCTTTAAAATGTCAGACTGCGCATATGCTGCCCGAGCCCATGTGCTGCTTGCGCCCACGTGGCCAAGCACACGCAGTGCCTGAGCACATGTGTCACTCACATCTCCCCTCTTGAGACATATACCTTCTTGCTTTCAGGTCTAATGCTGGTGAGAGTGTAGGGGCTCTCTCTGCCTTTCAGGAAGCCCAGGCTCTCTCTTAATCATGTTGCTCTCCACTCTCTCTCTCACTTTCTGCCCCCCCTCCCATCAAACCTTCCAAATAAAAACTGCAATTTCCAAATAAATAAATAAAATGTCAAAGACTTCTTTCTGCTTAAATTCTAGGAAAAATGCTTCTTATTTATCAGTCTGCCTTGCTATCCTTAGTCAAAATTGTCATTTTCCATCTTTTGTTATAAACTTTATGTTCTGTTTCTCACTTTTGTTGATTATATAATAATACTTTAAACTGATATAGTCAGAAATTTTGTAGTTTATTTTATTTCCTCAAAACTGTATTTGTAGCATTTAGTAGCATTTAGTCTAATAGCATCTGTTAAATGACCACGTATATCCCTACTTTTTTTAGAAAACACTGATATGATATTGATATGATAGGGAATTGGAAAGCAGTAAGAATCTAGTGTGTACATAGGCTATTCTTTAGTCCAGTTTTCAAAGAACAGTATTAATATCAATTCTTTGCTTTAAAGTATATCGTTTGATTAGGCCACAAAGCATTTAATTGTAAATAAATGTATTGGAACTTTTTTTAAAACTTTTTTTAATAATCTCCATTTCTGATATTTTTTAGCTGTGGTATTGTATTGATGATTTTTTTATTCCCTTGATAGGATTCTCTAATCTTTCTCAGAAAAATTATATATATTTATATTTGTATTTATATGTATGTATATATTTCTTTAAGATTATACTAAGGAATTTCAAATTCCTAGGTAATACTTTTATTAACCGAAATGGGGGAAGGGAGCATATCATATTTCCTTCTCGAATTTGCAAAAATGAAGGAGTTCCATGTGTCTGTGAGATTGGAAGCTGAGACTCATTCAGTAAAAATCCAAAGAAGTCAACTAGAGTATGGATTATTGGTATTATCATATTCAGCCTCAGAATTTTTTTTTTTTCTGCATGCCTTGTTCTATGTTTCCAATGAACTCTTTTAACCTATGCTTTTCTCTCCGTCCACCTAACCACCTTTATCTTAGAGAAGGGCAAGCTTTATGAAAGGCTGCTTTTAAGGTTGAATCTTCATAGGACCGTTAAGATGAGATGAAACTACCAAAGTGAGAAATACCTAAGTCTGTCTTCTTTTCAGCAGCAGTTTTGTTTATAAATAAGTTCTAATAATCCAGTGACATAATCAACTCAGAGATTCTTAAACAGTTTCAATAAGTATGTGAAACTAGTGACATTTTACATAAAATTTGTGTCCGTGGACATCTTTTGAGTACAGAGCTTTCACCGCATACTTCAAAGAAATTGGGCGCTGTAGGATAACAACTGATTTGTCCTTTCTCCCTTGCCACAAGGAGCTCAGTTTTATCAGGTTACACCCATCACAGTGCTCAAGTCACTCCCATTCCTTCGTTTATCTGTAACCACTTCTCTGTGCTCTCTTCCCCAAACAGTTAATCCGCTTTCCCCCCTAATCAGAATCTGTTAATTTGTAAGGTAAGATCCTTCTGGGACACTGAACTTGTAAGTTATATATTGTCTTTCTCCTCTCCTTATGTCTTTTGAATAGTTTAAAGCAGTGTCCTTTTTGTATAGACACAGGAAGACAGTTAATATCATGCTTTGTATCTTAGGATTTAATTGGCTTTGAATATTATTCACTCCCCGGCACCTGCTTTCTTGCCTTAAGCCTCAGTTGCCATTAGTTCCTAGCACCCCAAAAGCAGGGTCCCGACGAGGGACTGAATGGACCCAGGGCAAGCTGTGAGCTACCCTGGCATCGAAATGGCCCAGGCCAAAGTGCCACGATTCTTTTTTTTTTTTTTAATTTTATTGAATCACCATGAGATATTTGCAAGCTTTCATGGTTGGGTTACAATCACATAATGATCAAACACCCATCCCTCCACCAGTGCACATTCCCCATCACCAATATTCCCAGTATACCTCCCCCTTTCTCACTCTCCCCCTGCCTCCATGGCAGACATGATTCCCCATCATCTCTCTCTACGTTTGAGTGCCACAATTCTTAACTGTAAGTTAAGAGCTTGATCATGGACAAATGCTGTCATGATCCAAAACGGCGAGATTAAGACTCTGCTAGAAATAGGAAAGACTAATCTGACCCGAGCACCGTAGTCTGAGATTGAGATGACCCTAAGAGAGCAGTTCTATAAGCTAAATGTATCTCTTACTGTGTCCATACAAAATGATTAATATTATGAATCCTTATATGTTTATTAGACAAGGAGAGGAAAAACACACCCATGGGATTCCTTTCTAGGGTGGGTCGACCTGCTAAATGAGAATCTGTCCTCGAAGCAGCTTTCCCCAAGGAAAATAACTTTAACCCTATTGATTTTGACCACTGGCTGGAGAGATAGCATAGCTGTAGGGTGTTTGCCTTGCATTCAGCTGACCTGGGTTCGATTCCTCCGTCCCTCTCAGAGAGCCTGGCAAGCTACCTAGAGTATCTCGCCTGCACGGCAAAGACTGGCAAGCTACCCATGATGTATTCGATATGCCAAACACAGTAACAACAAGTCTCACAATGGTGACATTACTGGGCCCACTCAAGCAAATGGATGAGCAATGGGAGGACAGTGACAGTGACAGTGATTGTGACCACACCTATGTGTAAGCCCCAACCCCTCAGGGTTTGGGGATTTAACTAGACTGTAAGAGTGGGCTAGGAGATCCAGATTCCAGAGCCAGAAGGAGAATGAAGAGGGATCGAGGAGGAGAATGAAGTAGCATGGGGAAGGAAGAAGCAGGAGGAGAATCAGAGGAGGATGGAGAGGAAAGTGGAATAAACTGCAACTGACACCAACCAGCCTGGTTCTTGTTTCCTTCCTTCGCCTGCCCATCGCCATCCACCTTCCCTGAGTGGGGGAAGCTCTGTGAGACTACTGAACGTGGGTGGCGGGAGAGATAGACTTCTGCTGTCTTTCTGTGTTTACACAGGGTCCAGATGATTAACATGAAATTACCTGTGGTGTTTGTAATTCTCACTTCTTCACCCCCAAAATTTCTGTTATGCTCTTTATTTTCACAGCATTGGGCTTCAGTTGTTTCACTCTGTGTGTGTGTGTGTGTGTGTGTGTGTGTGTGTGTGTGAGTGTGTGTGTGTGTGTGTGTGTGAGAGAGAGAGAGAGAGAGAGAGAGAGAGAGAGAGAGAGAGAGAGAGACAGAAAGGGATCAGTGGGCAATACTCTGCCTCATAAAATGATAGAAAGAAGGGATTTAACAAAATTGATTAATTCTATCAGCATGATATTTAATCTCTCTGACATGGATGGTGATGCTGAGTATTATAACTGCCATATATTAAGGATTTTACAGAGACTGGATGTGTTCTAAGTTTTTTTTTTAATTATTGCATTGAATTTTAATTTGCTCGAGCGGGCCCAGTAACGTCTCCATTGGAGACTTTGTTGTTACTGTGTCTGGCATATTGAATACTCTCGGTAGCTTGCCGGGCTCTCCGAGAGGGGCGGAGGAATCGAACTCGGGTCGGCCACGTTGGCCGCTTGTAAGGCGAACGCCCTACCGCTGTGCTATCGCTCCAGCAGTCTTTGGGGGACATAGGATTATATCGGTTTTAATGAAAGTAAATCTTAATTTTTGACCGTGAATGTGGAAAGGTCGGACTACAGCTGAATCTTGCGAAGACAATGTTTATGAGAAACAGCCTTGTTCCTGATGCTCCATTCGCTCTCAACGGAACCACCATCTCCGAATGCAACAGTTATATATACCTAGGTCGAGAAATCAACATGATGAATGACCTGGCACCTGAGTTGCGCAGGAGGAAGAGAGCGGCTTGGAATGCCTTCAAGAGCATTGAAGAAATAACTAAAAGGACAAAGAACCTCCAGCTACGAGCACATCTCTTTGATTCCACTATTCTTCCTGCATTAACATATGCCTCAGAGACCTGGACCCTACGAAAACAGGATGAGAACACTATTCGGGTCTCTCAAAGAGGAATCGAAAAAACTATGCTTGGAATATCACGATTCACTCAAATGAGAGATAGAATCCGGAGTTCTGATCTTCGTCAACGCTCAAGAATCAGGGACACTGTCTCATTTGCCAAGACATCAAAAATCAGATGGGCTGGACACGTAATGAGGTTTACAGACAACCGCTGGACTAGAGCCATTACTGATTGGATTCCACGAGACATCAAAAGATCACGTGGACGCCCACCTATAAGATGGTCAGACTTCTTCGTCAAGACCCTAAATGATCGGTTTGAGGCTCTACATGTTCCTAAAACGAACAGATACCATTGGGCTATGCTAGCACGCAACCGGGATGAATGGAGACGTTACTGGCACCCGCTCGAATAAATCGATGAATAACAGGGATTAAGTGATAAATCTTAATTTCTGATGGCCTTTGAAGAATTACACCATTACACTGGTAAATGGGGAAGCTGTCTGTAGCAGGTCAGTGTGACTTGGAGACACTTGAAATTTCCTGCCTGGAATTGCATTATGCTGCCACACTTAATTTCCTTTTTTCTTTCATGTTAATTAGTATGTTATTAGGTATACTCATGACAATTAACTGATACCTATTGACTTATTTAATCTTTCGGCCTCTCAATATGAAATCACAGAAACTGTTTATTTCCTTTCAAAATGTGTTTGCACCTTAGTTTGTAGCGATATTAGACAAAGTTTCCAAGAATTTTTGGGATTTGCTTCTTCCCTACCATTTATATAAAATTTTCCACAAGGCATACATTTTTATGTATCTTGCTTATTCCATGATTCTTGTACAAGTTATGCATTCTGCAGTAATTAACTGATCCCTGTTCTAGAGTTCATGAATGTGTCTCTCTCTGAGTCTCTGTCAGTGGTCACCTTATATTCGTCTATATCACAGAATTTTTAGCAGAATTCCCATCCTGCTTAATATTTAGTGTAAACACCAATCGACATCTTTCTATGTAATAAGAAATCTGTTCTTTTTTGTTTGGAGAGTAGGGACGGTGGGTCACAGTCAGCTATGCTCAGGGCTTATCCTAGCTTTATACTCAGGGAACTTCCTCGCAGAGCTAGGGGACCGCATTCAGTACCAGAATTGAACCAGGGTCAGCTGAATGCAAGGCAGGTGCCTTAATACTTGTGATATCTTTCCAGTAAGATATATTTTTTTAAATTTTTGGACACATGCAGCAGTGCCCAGGGATTACTGCTGGCTCTGTGCTCGGGGATCACTCCACAGTGCTCAGGGGACCTTTGCTGTGCCAGCGATTGGGCCAGGATCAGTTGTGGGCAAAGCAAGCAACTTCCGTTTTTGTCCTAGTATTGACTTAGTTCGAAATTTTTCCTCTTGTGCCTTTGTTGCCCAAGACATGCAAGAGTGCTGCCAGAAACAAGGTGGATTCATTATGTTTTCTTTTGAATTAATCTTCAGTCACTGGAGTGAGAGACCTTTCACTGTTGCCATGTTCCTTTGTGATCTCCATATTCTTCTTTGATCACATATGGGGTTCCCAGCTGCAGTTTCAGAAGCAGACCTGCATCTTTTCTGCCTTAGCATCATCTCCAACATATCCTTTGTCAAGCCCCAGTAATTCCTCTATTTTCTATGTTTGTTATCTTCACTTACTATATTTTTCTTCTTGGTGAGGAGAGAATGCATCTACTTTTGTATATAGTAAATATGCCTTGATAGATGCAGACTAAACCAGTATCATTTAATAAGAAAAACGCTGATCTCAAAAAAGAAAGCCATTTATATAGCATCATGGATGATGTCAGAGGAATGTTATTTAATAGGAAAATTCTGTTCCTGAAAAAGAAAGCCATTTATATAGCTTCATAGATTGTGTAAACACAAAAAGACAGCAGCGTTCTATCTTTCCCCGCCGCCCACGTTTAGTAGTCTCAAGCTCAGTAAACTCGCCACTCCAGGGAAGTCGATGGCGATGGGCAGGCGAAGGAAGGAAAGGAAGGCCAGTCTGGCTGGTCTTAGTTGCAGTTTATTCTAATCCTCTCTCCATACCTCCTGTCTCTCCTCTTCCTACCCCAGCCTACTCTTAAAATTTCATTATATCCCCCAGCATGTGGGGTTGGTATTGAATGAACGGTCCTTCAGTCGGAGGTGCAGAGACAAGGAACGTGAAAGAAGTTTATGTCATAGAGGGCCCAGGTTCTCTCAGACCTGTGACCCCTTAGAGAGCCCCCCCACACACCCAATCTCCTTTCATTGATCTTGGTACCTCTAAAGGGCACAATGTTCTCAAAAGTAGTTACAGAAAGAACATTGCGGCAGCAAAATGTACATTGTTTCTTTCATCTGGAGGCCAGTAATTTTGGCCTCTAGAAGGAAGATACTAAACCAGAACTGAAACCTTTCTTGGGCTACTTGGATTTGCATCCCAAAGACTAGTCCACTAGAGCTTGGAATCTATACCCTGAAATTTGCATCCCAAAGACTAGTCTGGCTAGAGTTTGGAATCTACATTAGGAAGATCAGGCCTGGCTAGCACCGGAGATCTGCATGTCAAAGACCAGCCAGGTTTCTGTGAGAAAAGGAAAACTGCCCCTTACAATATACTGAAATTATTACTAAAGGCAGTTTGAAGGGGAAAAATGTTCAGCCTCACCCAAACTAGTAAGGACACAGGAAATCTCGCCTATTTTCATGGGTTCCTATGTTCCTGCCCATTGTGTGGTGCAGTCTACATGGGCTCACCCTGACAGTTCAGTCCAGCCCCAGCAGGTTGGGGTAAAAATTACACAGAGGTGTGGTCACTCTCAATCGGGGTCCAGTTCTTTCCCTGGGGAAAGCTGCTTCTGGGACAGATTCTCATTTAGCAGATCTACCTACCCTAGAACAGGATCCCCTGGGTGTTTCTCCTCTCCTTGTCCAACAAACATAAGCATACATAATATAAATGATTTTGTATGGACACAGTAAGAAATACTTTAAGCTTATAGAATTGCTCTCCTAAGGCACTCTCTATCTCAGACTACAGTGCTCAGGCCAGATAGTCTTTCCTATCCCTAGCAGGGTCCTAGTCTCGTCGTTACTTTTGGATCATGACAGCATTTGTCTATGATCAAACTCAATTTATAGTTAAGAATCGTGGCACTTGGGCCTGGCCCGTTTCGATGCCAAGGTAGCTCACAGCTTGCCCTGAGTCCTTCAGTCCCTCGTCGGGACCCTGCTTTTGGGATGCTAGGAACTAAAGGCAGCTGAGGCTTAAGGTGAGAATGCAGATGCCCAGGAGTGAATAATATTCAAAGCCAATTAAATCCTAAGGTACAAAGCATAATGTTAACGGTCTTCCTGTATCTATACAAAAGGGACATTGCTTTAAAGTAAACTATTCAAAAGACATAAGGAGAGGAGAAAGGCAATACAAGTTTAGTGTCCTAGAAGGATCTGACCTTACAAATTAACAGATTCTGACTAGGAGAAAAGCTGATTAACTGGTTGGGGAAGCGTACATACAGAAGTGATTACAGATAAAGAAAGGAATGGGGGTGACTCAGGAGCACTGTGTTTGGTGTAACCTGATAAACCTAAGCTCCTTATGGCAAGGGAGAAAGGACAAATCAATTGTTATCCTACAATAGATGATGCTAACTGACAGATCAGTCTTCTTTGCGTCTGAGTTGAGTGAGATCCAAAGTTGAGAGCTTAGCCAACCAAGAGTTTGAAATGGATTTAGAGGCAAAGAAATTAATCCTGTAAGGGATGACTTCATATTGATGTGAAATGTGTATTTTTTTTCTGTAGGCCCAAACCTGTGCCATTGACTGCAGAAATGCATGCAGAGACTTTACAGTTGCCAGCATCTTGGGACTGGAGAAATGTCCATGGTACTAATTTTGTTAGCCCAGTTCGAAACCAAGGTAAAAAAAGAAGTTAGCTTTTTTTCATTAATTCATCCTAAAATTTTGTATACTAGGCCATAGGATAGATTCTAGGCATATTCATTCAGAGAAATGAAGTGGATTTCAGTCACTGTAGTAAAAGAAATGAGAAATATATATATGACTAATGAATACTCTCTTCCTTTTGTGTCCATGATAGATTATGATAATGGTTCATCTCACCCATCCATTTCTTTGATATTCTTCTCATACATTTTCAAGGTAGCTACTGAAATTAGTGAGAGAGAGATGCAAGACTAAGCTCATCTGCCCTCCTTGTAGGAATGACTTATGTAGAAATAATGAATTGTATATGATTAAATTGGCATTACTTTTGTAAAGGATATGCTGAAATCTTTGTTATTTATACTCCCACTACCATTATTTAGTCTTTTATTACATTAAAAGTTAAGTAAGTGGATCCTTAAATTTTATTCTCATAAAGTTTATTTTGGAATAGTATAAGAGTCTTTCAGTTCATTGTATGACATAATACTATATTGAACTCATTTTGGATAGAATTGTAGTTCACTTGACTGATTACTAAATAAAATAAGTAGACTACTTTCTGGAAGCATTTTTATTGGTGATCAGATTTTAATTTTATAATATCCCAAAATAAATCATTAATTCCATTCTCTAAAAATTAGAATAATCAGCCTCCCCTCCCCTACTTCTCAAGCATTCACCACCAACTCTTCAATCCCATTATCACTGAACTTTGGTCAAATGTTTGGGATGACAAAGCTGGTAGCAGTACCCCAGCTGTCATTCCTTTGTACTGGTTATTCTGGGACTCTTCAGCTTAGATCTACAAAGTGTGGAGCCTGAAATTCTTCCCCCTTTTCCTTCTTGGCAAGAATTTCTTGGCATAGGTGGAATAGGATATAAGAAAGATTTCAAAGAAATTAATGGCAAGTGAAATTAAAAGGTGAATGTTAGATTAAAATGTGCTCTGTCATCAGATCTTTCCTATGCTAATTTGAATAAATATTAGTAATGTTTTTTAAGTTTTGATTAGTGAGAACATTTGGGCATCTGTGTTGTTAGAAAAAAAGTTTTGATAACTGTGCCTATTTTCATGGGTTCCTGTGTTCCTGCCCATTGTGTGGTGCAGTCTACATGGGCTCACCCTGACAGTTCAGTCCAGCCCCAGCAGGTTGGGGTAAAAATTACACAGAGGTGTGGTCACTCTCAATAGGGGTCCAGTTCTTTATATTAGATATAAAATCTAATATGGCATGGTGCTTTTTATTGGTCTTACAATTTAGCCAAAACTTTGAAGCCCAGCACTAAGATTAAAATATGATAACTACTAGAGTGTTTTTAAAATTATGGAAGTATGGGGGGTAGATTGAATGGTTTAGTCCACAAAGATATGATTGACTAGTTTTGCGACAGTAATTCAGGAGAAATAAATTAACTAGATTCAGTGACATTGGTTGTCTTGTAGTTCTGTAAAATTTGTTATTGTCTCCATTGTTTTAAGGTCTTTGGGTATTGAAAGGATTTTTACAGACATGGGCAATTTAAAAAGCAGAGGATTTAGATTAATTGCTTTTGAATTGATCCCCCCCCTATAGTATCTTGTGTAGTATTTCAGAGGATCATGTATTTCAAGCTTCTTTTGACTTTCTTTTGGGTTTCCAAGGTGACTACTAGGAAATTTTCACAACTATAAGAATGCCAGTTTTGTATGTAACACAGAATTATGAATTTGTAACAGTTGTGGAAATCATAGCTTTCTCTCTTTGAGAGCCAAAGAAAAATGCCTTTGCATATGAAGAATAACTTTAAGTACCCTGCTGTAGCCAGGTTTACCTTAAAGTTTGCGAGGAGATAAAAAATTGGAAAAGATAACCTTGCTTTGTTCTCTAAGCAAGTCTATTACTGTGCGTTCTGGAGAATAAAGTGTCTTTTCTTGGCCACATTAATTAGGTAATGCAGTGGTTTTTTTCTTAATAGTAATAATTGAGTTTTAAATCTTGTTCTGTTTACAGTTTGTTCTGTTAGAGTTTATATCCAAAGACCTTGAAGTGCACCTCACCCTTCTTACTTACATTCTGTAGCACTGTGGCATTGTCTTCCCGTTGTTCATCCATTTGCTTGAGCAGGCCCAGTAACATTGTGAGACTTGTTGTTACTGTGTTTGGCATATCGAATATGCCACGGGTACCTTGCCAGGCTTTGCCGTGTGGGCGAGATACTCTCAGTAGCTTGCCAGGCTCTCCAAGAGGGACAAAGGAATCGAACTGAGGTCAGCCATGTGTAAGGCAAACACCTTAGAACCGTAGTAATGGTACAGGGTATAGGGCATCTGCCTTGCAAATGGCCGACCTGGGTTTTTTGGTTCCTGGTTGTTTTCTGAAGGAATAATGTTTCTTTTAGGACTTAGCCTCTGCCTCTTTAAAAAGAGGCATTGATTACTGACAGATTGGGAGAACATAAAGCCTTGAGGCAAGTTTTCTCTTCCTTTTCTTTTATTCTCATGATTTCTCTAATAGATCATACTCTGCACCCTTCAATTTAAATGTGACTTCTCTCTGCTGCATGGTCAAATGATGAGGATTTCATGATTGATACCAAGACATGATTTCTGTAGCTGCCATGGGCTACACTGCTAGCTGGACCAAAAATGGGGCCTTGTCCAGAGTCTCTTGGGAAAGTGCTGCTTATTTTATGGTTTTGGAATCTCATGGTAGTAACACTGGCTTTGACTGCTCACTCATTGAATTCCCTGCTATTCAGGAGGGATGTTGTATTAAAGATAATATTAGTTGAGTGGTTTCAAAAGTGGTTTTAATTAATTTTTAATTTAGTAACTGCTTCCAGGGGAAAACTAAAATTCCTTTAAAGTAGATACAGATCTATAAGATCTATGAACTGAACAGGATTCATTACAGTAGGTGGATATTTAGACATATAGCCCCAGCCATCCATCAATTTCTGTGACTCCAAACACATCATCACTTCTTTCTGAATCCTAGTGCCTGTATCATCAAAGTTGACTAGGTTGCACTCTGGAAAAATTTCAAGTGTTTGTCTTCTAATCTTCATAACTTACATGACCCTTCAGTTACAAAACAGCATGTAATAGGGATAAATAAGTGTTTAGAGGAAAATTTGGAATAATGTTAGTAGTAGCATTTAAGGGGTTAGATTAGATTAGATTAGATTAGATTAGATTAGTTAGATTATACCAGGTGATATTGTAGCCAATACTCAATAGTGGCTCATTTTATGATTTATGGTTCAAAGAGATAGTTCATCTGATAGAGTACTTGACTTGTATACAACCAATCTGTGTCCCATCCTTGGCATTCCATATGGTCCCTGAGCACTACCAGAAGTAACCCTGATCACTGCCAGGTGTGGCCCCTAAACAAATAAATAACAACAATAAAATGTTCGAGAGATTCCTGCCAGGAGATCAGTCTCCCCTGGAATGGTGGAGAAGCAGGCAGAGGTCCCAGACCAGAGATCATTCAAAGAGAACAAAGATGGCATTCTCTTTGGTATGCGATTTTACAATGTGAAGCCAAAGGAATGACTCCTTTCCAAAGGGTTGCAGCTCCGAGGCCCTGAGTTCAAACCCCAGCACCACCCCCTGCTCTGGGCTTCTTCCTGATGGTTTCGGCACCATGGACTGTTGGCCTAGTTTGCAGATCTCACTGAGAATGGCCCCTTTGCCTACATAGTTCTGCTTGAGAAGCTCCCCACGCCAATAAATAAATGAGTACATAAATTCTTTTTAAATGTAGAGGTACTGCTTTTTATTCAAACATTGATTATGCTGAGTGAATTGGACATGAACTCCGCATTACTTTTTTTTAATTAAAAAATTTTTTAATTGAATGTGAGATAGACCATTACAAAACTGTTCGTAATTGGGTTTCATTCATACAATGATCCAGCACTCATACTTCTACCAGTGTACATCTCCCACCACCAATGTCCCCTGTTTCCCTACCATCATCCTCCAGTACCCCACCTCCAGCCTCCCTCTATGGGAGACGCTTTCCTTCCTGCTCTCTCTCTTCTTTTCCTGTTGTGCATTATGGTTTGCAACACAGGTGCCAAGATGTCATGGCATTTATTCCAGGCATTCAGTATTTTTATCGGGATGGTAAGGATAGAGTAGCTTTTCAATTGGCTGACTGCTTTGGGGTGTGGATTTGATTGCTGAGGCTTCTGGAAGTGCAGGGAGATGGAGGGAGGTAACCCATCCCGACCCAGAGAAAGCCTGGAGATTTAAGTCACAAAACCCGCATACCCAAATTTTTAGCGTATTATATTCTGGTGAGGTCTGTTCTGAGATGGTGTAGTCAGGCCTGGGGTATGGTGGATTTTGGATTGTGGAAACAAGTGTCAGGAGGGTGTCTGCTTGGGCGGGCCCCAATGCCAACCCGCCTCCCTCCAATTTACCTCTGTCTGCTTAGCCATGCATGGGTCCATGCTTAACTACAGCTTTTGATCTCTCTTGAGATTTATTTATTGGTCTCTGAAGCAAGGCTGGTGGTAGAACTTACATGGTGGCATTGAAACTGGTTGATGGGAATGACTGCCAGTGCTTTCAGGAGTATTGGGAAGTAGGGGGAGGTAGCCTATCCCAACTTGGAGAAAGCCAGGAGATTTCAGTCACAAAACCCACATACCAGAGTTTTCAGCAGATTGTATATTGGTGAGGTTCGTCCTGAGATGGTGGAGTCAGGCCGGGGTATGACGGCGATTTTGGATTGTGGAAGTAAGCGGCTTCAGGGGACTCCGCTTAGGCAGGCACCAGACTAACCTGCCCCCCTCTGATTTACCCAGGTCTGTTCAGCCATGTGCTGGTCCAAGATTAACTGAGGCTTTTGTTCTCTTTTGAGATTTATCTATAGGTCTCTGAAATAAGGCCAATAAATGAGCTTGTATAGCTGAGCTAGAGGTGGTTTGTGGGCATGGCTCCCACATACCTAAGTTTTGACCGTTTAATTTCTTGGTAAACTTGGCCCCAGTTGTTGGGGTCTGGCCAAAGACACAGCGGCAATTTTGGATATCAGGAAGCCTGAAGGCACCATCAGGCTGCTGATTCACTTGCCCTGTGGTTATAGGTCGATCTGCTGGCAATATCATAGCACTATAGCACTGTCCTCCCTTGTTCATCCATTTGCTCAAGTGGGCACCAGTAACGTCTCCATTGTGAGAGTTGTTACTGTTTTTGGCATTTCCTATATGCCACAGGGAGCTTGCCAGGCTCTGTCATGTGGGCGGGATACTCTCAGTAGCTTGCCGGGCTCTCTGAGAGGGATGGAGGAATTGAACCCGGGTCTGCTGTGTGCAAGGCAAACGCCCTACCTGCTGTGCTATTGCTCCAGTGGCTATTGTTCCCGAGTAAATAAATGTTATTTTTTCACAAATCTAATTTTCCATGATCACCATTCAAATAATTGGTATTTTAATTTAATATTTAAGATTTAATTAAATTGAATGCTCTATAAGTTGTGTATAACTTTAATATCAATATCTTGAATTTGATATGAGCTTTTGTCCTTCTAAAATGCGTATCAGTGGAAGAAGTGGAAGATTCTAAATACTAATAAGTAAAAACTTACACAATTTCTCACCCCCCCCCAAGAATATACCTGTATTCTCACACCTGTATTGTTTTTTTTTTTATTAGTGAGACATCATGAGGTACAGTTGCAGACTGACAAATTTTTGTGCTTGGGTTTCAATTATACAATGATCAAACACCCATCCCTCCATCAGTGCCCATTTCCCACCACCACGAATCCCAGTATCCCTCCCACCCTCCATCCCCCATCCCACCCTGCCTCTGTGGCAGGGCATTCCCTTTTGTTCTCTCTCTCTCTTATTGGGTGTTGTGGTTTGCAAAAGAGGCAATGGGTGACAATCATGTTTGGTCTATAGTCCACTTTCAGCATACTTCTCCCATCCTGGGAGGATCCTCCCAACACCTTTATTTGGTGTTCCCTTCTCTATCTGAGCTCCCTTTTCCCTTAGCATGTCACACTTGTATTGTTAAGGGTAGTTCTGTGCAACTTGCTTTAGCAAGTGCTGCTTTTGATATATTTAAACATTTACATCAGGGGCTGGAGCAATAGCACAGCAGGTAGGGCATTTGCCTTGCACGCAGCCAACCCGGGTTCGATTCCCAGCATCCCATATGGTCCCCTGAGCACCGCCAGGGGTAATTCCTGAGTGCAGAGCCAGGAGTAACCCCTGAGCACCGCCGGGTATGACCCAAAAAGCCAAATAAATAAATAAATAAATAAACGTTTACATCATTTGTGTCCCTCTAAATTTTTCTCTTTAATATGAGCATTCATAATGTTGCTGGCACATTGCTTTTTTTACTAGGTGCATTAGTTTTTACTAACAGTGATATTGTCAAAATCACTATTTTATCAGTGACATTTGCAGATGTTAGGCATTTCCTATTTATCCCCTCCTAAAATAGTCTTATGAAAATCCCCACCTTGTATACTAGGTCTTTGATGAACAAGGTTGAAATCTTAGTGTTTTATTGTTTTATTTTAAGAGGATCACCTTTTTTGATTGAATCTTCTGTATTGTGTTGATCCTTATGAGCAACAATAGTTGATATAAATACACTTTGTCAGCTCATTCATTCAGATTTTTCTATAATTCTTTGTGAGCACTTTAAAGGTACTTTCTTCTTTTTTTCTTTTTTATCACCAGGTACTTGTGGAAGCTGCTACTCATTTGCTTCTATGGGCATGCTTGAAGCCAGAATTCGCATACTAACCAATAACTCTCAGACCCCAATCTTGAGTCCTCAGGAGATTGTTTCTTGCAGCCCATATGCTCAAGGTAAGTATAGTTTTGCAAATACCTTTTATGTATGTGTAGTTGGCCACTGTTTGAAAAAGGCAAAAGAATATGCAGTGGAGTGAACGCAGCATCTCTAGTCAGAAATCCTGGGTACAGCTCTGACCCTCTGCCCTAATCCTGCGTGCCACCATGAGCCTACTGTGCCACCCAGAAGCGTGGCAGTTGCTGTTTACTGCTGGAGATTATGGAGCCTCCTACTGTGTTACCCACTGATGCCTAATGCCATGGCAAAATAGATGCCCTGTGTCACAAAGAGGGAGCTCCAATTGAACTGTTCCAGAAAATGTTGAAGCTCTCAGTGCTATTTGAAAGTTTAAGCTCTAATGTAAATAGAAAGCCCAACTATAAATGATTTAGGAAGAAATTCTCCTGGAAGGCCTTTCTTCTATCAAGACTAGAGTTGTCCGCACTCATTTCCTAGTCTGTTGGTGAAAATACTGGTGGAAAGTATGCTATTGATCTTTTTATCCATAGTGAAATATTTATTTCATTGTGACTCTTAGCAGTGAGGCAATGATGTATCAAAACATTGCTTATACTTACAGTGAAGCTTACGGTTAAGAGAAGAAAACTGAAATTAAAGAATTATAAGAACAGTGGAGAACAAATTCAAGGTTCTATCTGCGTACACAGGAAGGAGATAGGATCTGGTTTAGACTTTTCTGCAGGAGATCATGAAATGACCTTTTTAGGAAGAGCCATGACATGGGATCTGGCTGTTTTAATATTTGAAAAAATATTGTTTATTGATTGTTTGGGAGCCACATTGCATTGCTCAGGGTTTACTTAGCTTTGTGCTCATCAGACACTCCTGACAGTGCTCTGGAGACAATCTAAGTTACCAAGAATCAAACCAAGGTTTACCACACGAAAGACAAAACCCTGTGTGTCATATTATCTACCCTCCCTTTTAAAACTTTTACATGAAGTGACTAATTTTATCTTACAGGGAAGATATATTTTGTTACTATCTATACATTGCAAATGACTAAGCAGGTGTAGAGGAGTTAAGGTTTCATGCAGTTGTGAATTTAAACCTACTGAACTAAGTTTCATGCTTCCTCATTTAACCTTCCACATTGGGCATATAATCAATGTGAGAATAATGGGGCTAAGAAAATAATTAAATGAATCTCTATTAGGTGGACAAATAAAGTAACATTGGCACTAAGAACAACTTCTAGGGTAAAAAATTGATGAAATAGAAAGAGAAAAGATAGAAGGACTATTTTTTTCATAGCAGGATAATCACTATGTCTATTACTCATCCCCAGGCTGTGAAGGTGGATTCCCATTCCTCATTGCAGGAAAATATGCCCAGGATTTCGGGCTGGTGGAAGAGAACTGCTACCCCTACACAGGTGTTGATTCCCCATGCAAACAGAGGGAAAACTGCATCCGATACTACACGTCTGAATACCACTATGTTGGAGGGTTCTATGGGGGCTGCAATGAAGCTCTGATGAAGCTAGAGCTGGTCCGCCACGGGCCCATGGCTGTTGCTTTCGAAGTTTATGATGACTTCCTCCACTACAGAAAGGGGGTCTACCAGCACACAGGGCTGAGAGACCCTTTCAATCCCTTTGAGCTGACTAATCATGCTGTTCTGCTGGTGGGCTATGGCACTGACCCCCACACTGGGCTTGATTACTGGATTGTTAAGAACAGCTGGGGCACTGCTTGGGGTGAAGATGGGTACTTCCGCATCCGCAGAGGGAACGATGAGTGTGCCATTGAGAGCATAGCCATGGCAGCCACTCCCATCCCTAAGTTATAGGGTTGTCTTCAAGCCAACAACCATCCATCATAAAAGAGAATCCATTTCTTCCCAGGCTGGAGACATATCAGTTTCTGAAGAGTGCAAATAGGTTCTAATCAGGACTTTTACTCATAAAATTAAAAGGCATCCTTGATTTTATTATACTTTCCCATTAAGCCCATGTTTTTTAAATATTAAATGAGTTTTCTCTGATTGTGCAGAAATAAATTTTTTAATTATTCAAATTCAAACAGATACTATATATTTTTAATGTATGTGAAAGACTGATTATTTTTCAATTGTAAAAATTAAAAAATGTGAGTTATTTTTAAAGATTTTTAAATGTCAAAGATTTTATAAATGTTCAGGTGGCATATAGTATGGAATTTATGTGTCTTAGAGATGTTTTACCATTGACTCTTTTGATTAGATTTACTTGTTACTTATCTAAGTACTTAAAAAATAAAAAGCATTTGAGGGTATTTTAATTTAAAAAATAAAACTTAGGGGCCCATGACGATACTGCAATGGATAATGTGTTTGCCTTGCATGCACCTGACCTGGGTTTGATCATATGGTGCTCTGAGCTATGCAAGGAGTAATTTCTGAGTGCAGAACCAGCAGTAACCCCTGAGCATTGCCAGGTATGATCCAAAAAGCAAAAAATAAATAAAATAAAACTTTTATGGTAGAGGATACATTCAGTTGATTATTGAATCTTAAAGTCTTATCCAAGATGTATGATAAGCCAGAGGCTGTGGAGCAAAGAAACAAAGTTTGATAAATATATGGATATTGATTAAACTTTTTTAATAGTGTATAAAAAGTCTTGTTTCGTCTTCACTGGGTGAGCCATAATAGCTTAAATGGTCAAAAGTAAATCTCAAGCTGAAGATTTGGGCAGATCATTAGGCCCTCCAAAAGATATTCACAATGGTTTTAACCTGTATTCTGAACCAAGAAATGGCATCTATTAGAAGAAATAGGATTAAAGCACATTTCATATTTGAAAATGTTACCTTGGTGTACATTCTTCGTGTGTGTTTCTAATATCTCAGTTCTGCTTTACATTGCAGTCCACTGCAAAGACAAAATTCTTGAAATGAGGCTCCAGAATTTACTTCATATTTACAATGTGCCTTTTTGGTCTCCTGACACATTCCCACATAGCCTTGGTCTTTCCCCCGCAGAGACACCAGACCCTCTGCATGGTAGGCTTAGTTGGAGCCCTTACCATCTGGGAGGCTTTCTAGGTGATTTATGCTCTTGTTTTGTTTGTTTTTCATTTTTATTTCTGGAAGTTGAACCCATGTAAATTGTGTGCTGTAATATTGATCTACATTTCTGATCCTGAGGAGGCATTATTTCGTTCTTACTGTTACTGATATGACATCATTTGATTCCTATTCCATTCCTTATCGCTATGGTAAATGATACACTTTGAAGTCAAAAGTGAATTTGTTGTTTTAAATTTGAAAATAAATTCAAAAGTCATGCCCCAAGATGCACGTGGACCCCTCCTGGCCTGACATTCAGCATCACGTGCTACCAGGCCGGAGCCCATATACTCTGAGCCATCTTCCAGTCCCAGTAAATACGTTTTTACCTAAAATGGAGAAAAATACTATTCAGTAAATAAGATGTTATTTAACATGCAAGCACAAGTTTATCCTATTTATCCTGTTCTTCATGGTCAAACAGAACACCCCAGCTTCTGCATAATATTAAGGATTCTGGCTGACCTCCACCTCAAAACTATGGCTGGGATCCTGCATGGGTAGTCTGTGCTGTGGTGGTTTGCTTCTTTGATGGGAAAAGCACTATTTTAGTCACTGTAGAATACACACTGATGTTCGTCAAGCCACATGTTAAGTTACATCATCAAAATTTATTACCTAAAATATAAGTATATAGAATCTAATAGAATATATAATCAAAGTCTGGATTCTAGAAAAAAGGAATAGGAAACTAGCTAACCTCTGTCAAAACATTCTCAGAAAGATTTGCTGATAATATATCATTATTATTTACAAAAGTTTCACTGAACAGTCTAGCACAACCTTAATAACGTTATTGCTTTTCTGCCTGAATAAGATTTTTCATTCTGCTATTTCTTGGTCATGAAACCTTAGGCAAGTCTTTCTTACATGTACTTCAGCTCTTTCATATATAGAATTGGAGAAAATAGGATAGATTTTGGTCATTGTCAAGACTTGCCCTCCTTCAGACATGTTATTACAACAAGAGTGGATCACATTTTAGTAAGACATTTGCTTCATTTGAATTCAGATCTTTCACTATCCCATGATAGGGGGCCAACATTCTGATAATGAAGTTTCCTTGGCCATCCAAATTTGCTCACTAAGCTCAACCTGACCTCTAACCATTGAACTCAGGAATTGAGTAGATCAGTATAGTAACTTCACAGAGTTCTCAAAGTTTAAATGCTATGCAAAATATATAGAACAGTACTGAAAACAGGGAGGAGTCATCCCTTTTTTCCCCCTAAAACTAGATTGTAAAATAATCCATTGCTTGTCCAATAAACTTCTTGTAAGTTCTTAGTTGCAAACCTATTTATAGCAAATATTTTCAACAGTTAATTGGCATTAAGGTAATTTTGCTATTATTCTAACATAGTAAAACATGGAGAGATATTGACTCACCAACATCAAATGGCAAAACCTTTTTACCATTTTCAAAAAGCATATTTGTCAGAAATCAAAACCATTTCATTTTTGAGATTTGTAAGAGCTTTACTATTTGCCTTACACCTCTAATACTGCCAAATAAATTCAGCAAAAGTAGTATTAGAGAACAAGCTATTTTATCTAAATTAACTCAAGAATGGATATTGCTCATATGGGCTGGTGAGTCACTAGCCTCTTACACTTGCCCTGGCTTTCAATGCTGGCTGTGATGGATTGGAGGACGATACGTGATCAGTGTACCCTCAGTCTGCAGTCTCATTTATGCATTTATTTCACACTCCCTCTAAGGCTTATTGCCCCCTACTGCCTATGTTAGCCCTGGGAAAATGGTTTCTAGGTTCTTTTTAGGTTCTTCCCTACATTAGTATAGTTGGCCTGCTTTGACCTTATACCTGATCATGCTAGATAAGGAGGCCTTGGGCTTCTGCTCCCATGACATGACTCAGGCAAACGACTGTCTTCGGAGATGGGTCCAAGGAAAGCGTCTGTTTTTCTGGGCGAGTGCTCCCCAACACCTGGCTCTGAACACTGCCACAACAAGCGGGGGCATCTCTAGCACCAGGGGAGTGCAGAGATCCCATGAGCCCAGAGAGTTTGGAGAGGGTTGCAAAGGGCCCCCAAACCCTGAAAGAGCACAGAGGGGGCTGCCTGTGGAAGCTGCCTGTGGTGAGAGTCTAGTTGTGGGGGCTGCCAGCTGCTACAGTCTGGGCCCCCCGCAAGAGCTGAGGGCCCTCAGGAGTCCCTAAGAATGCCAGCTCCTCCCACGTCCGGTTCCGACCTACCACCCCTCTGTGGGCCAGTGATGAAGTGCACAGAATCAGGTGTGGGACAAGCCATAGGGGTAAGAAGGACCCAACAATGAACTAAAGAGAGATTAATAGTCAAACATGCTAAACTGAAGTTAGAAGGTTCGTACTTTATGGTATTGTGTTATTTGCGTCCACACAAAATCCGGGCTCTGCTGTTCCTGTGTGGAGGGAGTAGGAGCGGGAGAAGTTGGGTTTGGGAGGCTAAGATAGAAATTAAAAATGGGTCACTGCTAAGAGAGAAATCTTGGCACTTTTGAAGAGAAAATGACAGTAAGACTGGAAAAATTTGGTTTTCCTGTCTGAATAGAAAGTGAACAAAACCTATTCTCAGAGTATTAGTGTGAGATTGTCCTCTGGTCTGCATTTGTCAGTACAGTAACAGTGACATGAAGTGGAGAAATCACCCAATCCGAGTTCCCACTCGTAAAGGTAAGTCCAGATCCCATGTGCCTAGTATGTCATGGACAGTTCCTGCTTTCTCTCAAGAAAAAGGCAGAAAGAAATCTAAATGTGAGACGTCATCTTCTCTAGAACCATCCCTAACATCCCCAGCTCACAGAGTTCTTGTCTCCCTGGCATAGTTACCATAGTCTTGAAAGGACAGCCGTGATTGGCTGGAGGAAGACAGCTTTTTATTTTTAAATCTTGGCCATCAGAAATCAGTTATTTTTATTTCTGACTCATTTGTTTTTAAGTGTGTGCTATGGTATAGCGCTTCCAGGGGCTGTTCCCTGAGCTCTGATGCTGAATGTCAGTCTCTGGAAATGTGAAAAGACCTGATTGGCTTTTTAACTAGAAAAGGATTTTGACTGGCTGACTGATGGGAAATATTTTTTTTCTATATTGCCTGCAGGTGCCCTACTGATAGCAATTACTTTTTCTCTCTTGAAATGTTGAAAACAGGGTCTGGGACATTAGTTGTTATATTTGACTTTTAAAAAAGAAAGAATTAAAAAAATAATCACTAAGGAGCATTAAAAAACATTTTTTGCTTGCAGATTCCCTTTTCCATGCCAAAAGAAAGACACATAACACCCAAAATACTCAAATTGCAATAAAGACAAAGGTTTCTTGGGGATATATTTTTCCTTGTGCAAGAATCCAGCTTTTTTCTTCTGAATTGCTTTTTGTTTATTTGGTTTGATTAGGCTCTGGACAGTCCTGCCTGTGCTCAGGGTTTCCTCCTAGCTCTGGCTAGAGAAATCAGCCCTGCTGATGCCCAGGGGTCAATGCGGGGCCAGGGATGGAGCCTGCATGCCCCACAGGTCAGGAACCTGATGCCAGCGCTGGCACTGTCCAGTACAGCTTGTTCTCTATTTTTGGACTTTCCCCCAATACTTAATAACTTACTTATTACAAGGTTAGCCTCTCAGAAGTGGAACCCTAGAGATATCAGCTATCCTTGCTTGCATTTTGGAGGTATTCTGCATGAAAAAAAATGCTTTCCCTTAAAAGAAAGGGACTTTCTCTGAAACAGTCTTATGCAAATAATTGAGTCTTACCCTTTTTCTGACTAGAAAACCTTTCATTTTGTACAACCCCTTGCAATGCCTTTTTACTTACTTGTGATGCTGCCCAATTTGATTCATGACTTTTTCCACACAATTAGATAGATATCCATGTTCAATGCAGATGATTTTCATACTGATACTGGCTTTGTAGAAAGAAGAAACTTCTGTGGGCTAAAGTTGTTCCAGAAACTTTTGGAGAGTATCTGTGTACATGGAACTTGGACTTTACTTTCACTGGACTGGGGTGGATATTAATTCCAGAGCTTCGCACAGGAAGAGCATGTGCTCTACCACTGGTAGATATTCCCAGGCTTGAGCTGAGCTTTGAAGTATAGTAAAAAACATGGAAGGAAAGAGAATGTATAATTAATAAAGGAAGATGATAAAGGTCCTGCCCTTTTAGTTTCAGGTGACAAACAGTTCATTTTAAGCAGCTTTTAACCCAAAGGAATCTCATGGAAGAATATTTAAATCATATAAAACAATAAATAAAAATTCATAGTTTATTAATGGTGGGGGTCTTCCTATACCTGACTTTGAGTAAATTTGTATCCTAATTAAAGGAGGGAGGAGGCAAATGAGAAGATATAATGGAAGTTAGAGGCCTGTGTGTACGAGAAAATTCTGACATAGATGAGCACATCTTAACTCACTAAACAATTAATCTAGATCAAGATAAGAACTACAGAGGTTGAGATGTTAGTACTTTCGCTGATGTTTTGCTTGCTCTCCTTTCAAATAAACACTTTAAGCTCAGCCCTTCTGACTCCTGTCTCTCAGGCGATACTCAGATCCCTGACTCCCTCTAACAGCCTTACCCAGAAATTAGATATGACGTTACTAGACGACTCTTTTGTTTCATAGGCATTTCCATACTAAATGTCCTGTCCCTAACCCGACCATCACGACCCACGACTACAGGAAGACAGCTATTGCTTCTATAGAAATTTCACAAGCGTGCTGAGACCCGTTTGCCTAACTGGTGGCACCCAATCAACTGGTCTTAGGCCCACTTAAGGCTGATGAGGCAAGAGAATTCTGTGGCATGTTTAATGAATTTGCTATTTTCTGACTTAATTTGCATATAGTAGATGAAAACTTCCAAATTATAAAAATAGTATCAGAATCATGAACTCTACTAAAGACCAAGCGGCCTTACTACAAAATCTGCTTCAAGGATGCGGCATTGGTGATGTTTTTGGTTCCTCACAGTTTTCATTACCATTATACTTTTATTTCTATTTCTAATATTCAGCTTATACCTCCCAAGCACCTTACTAAAGCTCGTCTCTTCTAATTTAGAATCGTTTAAACTACACACTGTGGTCAAAATACTGTTTGAGATAAACATTCCTTCTGATATGGACAGAGATCTCTATAATAGGGACCCCACTTACAACTAAGTGCTCTCAACATATTCTCAACAGGAAGTAA